CTCCTGGACAAGTCCCTTCAGTTTTCTTGCCAAGATTTTTCAGAAGTGGTTTGCCACTGCCTCCTTCCTAGGGCTGAGAGAGAGGGACTGGCCCAAGGTCACCCAGCTGGCTTTGTGCCTAAGGCGGGACTATTGCTCACAGTCTCCCAGTTTCTAGCCTGATGCCTTCACCACTGCACCAAACTGGCTCTCATAGAACAGTAAAAATAAGTCACAGCAGGTAGCGTCACTGAGCTGACTTTGGCTATCTTGAAAACCAAGTAAGGGTGGACCTGATTTATATTTCTGTGAAGACCACCCACACATCCCAGGGATACAGGCTAGATTTGGAAATAAAAAAAAAAGATTGGAAAAAGACAATGTTTTGTATTTTTGCCAAGAAAACCACATGGGTGTGTTCATGAAGTCACTCAAATCTCTCAGTTTGAGAGCACCTTTATCTTTTACAATATAACGATTAACAGTAAAGACCCCAAGATCTTGGTGCTTCCTTAGCTCATTTCATTTGATAGCACCCGTTTCTTTTCATTTTTCTTCATTTATTGTATTTTAATCCCATTTTTCCTTCCAGGCACTCACATGTTATCCTCATTCAATAGTCCTGAAAGGAAGATCAGACTGAGTAGGCAGACCTGAGTGAGGGTTTGAACCCATCACACCAAACTCCAAACTGAGCAGGTGAATCTCTATGCCACGTGAACCACTCCCTTACCTTTCTCACAGGTAAGCAGTCTCACTACAGCAGGACGCCAGGACGGGCCACTTGCACAAGTGTACTCTGCATGACCAGTTAACCTGAAGGTTGGTGCACAACTTAGGTGGATCGTTTCCCCAATTTTATATTCACTTTTAAAGGGGGAAATGGAGACAATATCTGAGGCTGCTGGTCTGCGACATGCAGATACTGAGGAAGGAAGGAAGGAAGGAAGGAAGGAAGGAAGGAAGGAAGGAAGGAAGGAAGGAAGGAAGGAAGGAAGGAAGGAAGGAAGATAAATGAGATTAACATGCTATGACAGAGAGTTGCAAGGTAAATACAGAATTAAAATACTTTGTAATGGCTTTATACCAAAAATGTAAATGATTAACAATTTAAAAATCCAATTTGAAAACTGAAAGGCTAATTCACTAGTTATGCTTGCACAGTACATTTACTCATAGTTAGTTGAACCCAGATTA